GCCCTGCAGGAGGTAGTAGTCAGTAGGCACTTGTAGTCTTCAGGATTTCGGCCGCAGCACTCAGGAGGAGAGCTGCAGTAGTCTTCAGCGCTAGGCAGTAGTGGTAGCACTAGGAGTAGTCTTCGGCGCTGGGCGCCATAGCCATAGTGGTCGTCTTTAGCGCTGGGCGCTATAGGGCAGGGTAGCAGTATCGGAGAGAGACACTRGCGGAGGCCAGTGGTACTTACCTGTGGCACCATCGCTCTAGCTCCATCCTCGGTGTACCTGCATCAAGACGCCAGTTTTACAGGTTAGTATTGGACTGAGAGAGAGAGAGAGAGACCTTCTTCTTCCTCTTCTAAGTCCACCATCTCTTCTTCCCCTCCCGCTGCCTGCCTCTCAGCATCTATGGGCTACGAGATGGAGCTTTGACACGGGACATGACGACATTGTYATCAGACTTGATTCCGGGATACAGACATTCGTTGAGGATTATTTGGGACCTGTGACGCAGACTTGGAGTTGACGATATCTCCCATCTTCTCCTCTCCCTCTGTCTCTTCCCTTCCCCCTTCGTCTGTGTATGTTGGGGTCTGGCGCTATCTATTTTGTGTGAGTGCCATCCCTTCACACCACTGTATGATGATGATAAATGTCGGGACTGTACTGCAACATTGATTGAGTCGGATCATTGATAAGTCTTCCGCTCGCCATCTTGTACTTTGAAATGAAAGGTCGGTCCTTGTTCTGTTTTGCATGATCTAGTATGCAACAACTTTTCACCTCGGTGTGGTCAATCTGTGATCGCCGTGGTTTGATGTTCATCATCTTCACTCACGGGGGTGGTCGTGGTCTCAATCGCCGCGCCCATCCTACTCATCACCAAGTTCACGATCGTAGCCGTTTTCACCAGGGTGGAGCTCGGAGTCGAGCTCCTGCTGCTGCTCATAGAGTTGTGGTTGCCGTCAGAACCCAGGCCAAGTGTTATCGTCGTTCCAACCTGGTCTTGTCCTTCGTGATAGTCGTGGCCAACAGGAAACGCACCTGACTAGGCTCTGACGACGCATTCACTTCCCGTCCCTTCGAGCACAGCAGTTGGAACTATACGAGAGAGAGGGGCAGGGAAGAAAAGAACTTGCCGATATGTGGTCCCTACCTCAGTCCTAGTTGCGCCCCTACCCCTATACTAGCAGAAGACTCCTTTGCACGTTGGTAGACTGCTCAGCCGATGCACATATGAAATTGTTGGACTGCAGACGTAAGTTCGGATCCGGCAGCGACCCAAATAAAATAGCTCTGAGCTACGAAAGATCCAACAGCGTACTGGTGCCCTTCAATCTCGTCAGGGCCAGATATTGACCAGGCCTGCAGTAAGCTGGCCGTGAGCACACAGGAAGGAGGGCTCTGAATGCATGTGCTGGTGATAGCGATAGTAGGTGCTCATTGACATTAGGATTCAGTGCTTTGTAGGTGGAATATCGGTGTTTTTCCTGGTTGCTGGGTTATTTTTCGTCCGTGCATTTGCAGCACAGACAAAGCAATAATTGCGGTACATCACTGCGTCTGCTGTGCTCGGACACGGTATATTGTTGTGTATTACTGGGCACATTATGTGTATACCTCTGAATGCTGCGTTTCACCGGCAACTCGAATAGAAAATAGGGGCTATGCTCTATTCGAACGCAGCCTGTCTAGGCCACGTAGCAACAACTTAATCTGAGGTTGGAGACTTGGAGTGCAGCAGGTTGGGAGTGTGAATAGGCTTTTTGCGGACGGGTTGTTGTTGTCGCCCCTATTACTGTTTAAAGTCATCTTCTCCGCTGCACTGCTATCCTATTTTCGAGGGGGACTACGGACTGTGTTTTTAAGAAGGCGACCTGCGTTTCAGAGTCTTGACCAGTGTGCTTCGGATCGCGGACCATGCGGATGGTTGAACTGCTGCTGCTAAGACCCATGCCGTAGTCATACTACCAGGGAGTGCAGATGTTGCTCTTAGGCAAGAGCGGTGCTGGTGCTGTTCTCAACGGGGATATAGTGCTGATTGCCCAACCAAGATTATGCTGATTGAAACCGCACCGTTGCTGTGCAGTCGGCTGACTCGCTGCTGCGTGGTTATTACTCCAGCTGTTGTGGTTACTACGGATTACCGGGCCCTGACCGATTATTTAAGTTAGATTGGTCATTGGGCTGTTGCTGCATAGTACGGCCAACTGTTGCGCTCGGCACCATGTACGGTTGAGTCTGGTGGTCTGCTGGTGCAAAGGGCTATTTTTGCGAACAGTGGAATGTTGTGTGTTGCTGGTTAGAAAGCGGTACCGACAGACCCGTGGAGGTGTGGCACACTATTGTTGAGCGGTGTGAGCGGGCTGCTGCTACGGTGGCACGGTTGTGGGCTCAGAGGAGTGAGCAGGCCCTGCACGGGGGCCATTGCTATGATTTGGAGATCTGCCTGGGGACCTGTGCATCGCATTCCAGCCGTGGTTCTGATCGACTTCTGCTGCATTTTCCTGGCCATCATTGAGGGGCCCTCAGTCGCACGAAGATTTCAAGGCCCTCTCCTGTGAGCCTGAGCGCACCCCTCTTGTATCTGAGAGTCTAAACTATCTACTCCTATCTTTCTCACTCTAAGTCTAGTCTAAAGTTACGAGAGGAAGGCGGCAGGCGGGATTGCAACCCGTAGGTCCACATCAAGACCTTGTGGGAGGTCCACCCACTGATTGCGGGAGCTCTGCCGGAGCCCAGGCGGGGTTCTGGAGGCAGGGAACTTAAGGTATAATCTCGTCTGACGCGTGTGATCCCTTCCCCTAACTACATTATCCCTTTGGGTATCTGAACATAACTATGACATGTTATTATTTTTTATTTTGTTATGTATGTCAGGACATGCTTGTGAAAGGCAAATTAACAAATATATATGAGAGATGAGATAATCCTTTGAGTAAAGACAGACAAAGGAATTGGGGGAAGGTGGGAGGAAGGCGTTTTTGCATGCTTTGACCGGGTCAACCCAAGGCTGGGCCCCTCCGGGTGGATGTGGGCCTAGTGCTGTGTTTTATTGATGTTTGTTGGGCTGTGTGAATGACTTTTATGGCTGGTTCTACCCGGGTAGGATGGATCAGTCACTGTTTTCTTTAAGGGTTTTTGAACAGGAGGACGGACACCCTGGGTAGGGAAGGCTCGGATTCCTGGTGTTTATTTTAATGAGTTGAGGTGCATGTTTTTTTTTAGGGAACAAAGGCATAAGACTAAGCGTA